ATTTCAAAGTAAAAACATAAGGAACTTTAGTATATTTTTTTTATTGAAATATATATATTTTTCATTACAATAAATTTAGAAATTGTATAAAAAAGACACTTTGTGCATCCAAAGCATGTTCCGGGATAATAAATTTTGTTATTATAAATTTTTTTTTAAAAAAAAAAAAGTATGCTAAATAAATATATATTATATATATATGCATAAAAAGTCTTTATATAGTATAATATTAGTTGATATATATACGTCATCAGAAGTAATGTTAAAAAAATCGGCAATCAGAAATCAGAAATCATTGATTTCTTTTTTTTTTTTTGATCTACAAATTTCACATTTTTTTGCAAACCGCAATAAGTGATTTCGATAAAGTTATGTTAAACTTATCGTAGTTCGGTCACTGTACTTACAGACTATTATGATTGCATAAGTGATTCAAATAGGGTTATGTTTTGTTATCGTGATTTGTATAGTGATTTGCTGTAAAAAGTTCGGTTGCTGTACTTACTCGCTATTTTGACATAAGTGATTTAAATAAGGCTATGTTAGTTTTGTATTGAGCTGATCGTGATTTGTATAGTGATTTGTTGTAAAAAGTTCGGTTACTTGCTATGTTTGACATAAGTGATAAGACTATATAAACATTCGGTTACTGTACTTACGAACTATAGTGACATAAGTGGTGATCAAATTATTATTTACTTCTAAGCTTTTTTAAACTACTAAATTTACAAGTGCATATTATACTTACAGCCTTTCAACTAATTTATATGCCTCCGCTGCCATGTTTCTTTCGGTTTAATTTTTAATAATAATATCAATTCAGTATTTGATTCATTATACCTTTTCATTATATAATTAATTTCCATCGATATCTTAGTGCCATTGTATTATATGGTTCAATTTCTAGCAATCTAGTTAAATCTTAAATGCTTTGTCATATTTGCCCATAATAAAATATATTTTTCCTCGGTAGCTTAATTTAACTTGAATCTTTTTCTAGTGACTTTGTTAATTCATCAGTTAAATTAACCAGCATATTTTCATATCACCTATAATAAAATAAACCTTTTCTTAATATTCCAATGTTAATGCATTATTTGATTTATTACTAATGTCTTCATTAGTCATTGCTGTCATTTGATACATATATAGACAATACAAGGTTAAACTCAAATAAGTCAAAAATTATTAAACCCTTTGGATAAATTTACCAGAATATTTAAATTTTTCGTTGCCGAAATTCACTTCTACTGATCCGCCTTGTGATCTAAATCCAACATAAGGATATAGAATGCCTTTGAATTCGCCTGGTAGATCCTTAAATATTTTATAATTATTAAGCTTTTACCTATTTGCTTCAAAAAATATAAACCTTAGATCCTAAAATGTTGTTACCTAAGTTAATTCCATTTTTAGTATAAAATATTATATTATTTCTAAAATTTAGATAGCATCCAATTATATCACCAGTACTATACCCAGTACTATATCCAGGAAATGATAAATCATATGGTCCACCATTTCCTGAACAAAAAAAATAACCATCGTCACCATGGTAACCACACCCCCATGATTCACTTTCCTTGCTTTTTTCATTTTCTTTATTTTCTCTATTTTTCTTATATTCCTATCCTAAAGGATAGTTATATATGTTAATCTGTAATAGGGACCCGGAAAATTTTGGGTTGGAAATTGCAAAAATTTATTTGGACATTGGCCAATATTTGAATAAAATTTGGATAAAATCTTTGAATATTTGGAATTATTTGGATTATTTTCGTCAAAAAAGCACTGTTGACCAATCAAAAAAAACATAATTTCGCGTAACCATAACTAGTGAAAAAATTTCAATTTGAAACTTCGTAGAAAATTTATCAAATTATTATTTGCGTTAATAGTAGTATGTCAGCTTCAATTCATGTTTATAATTTTTAATGGGAATCATTTTTTTTCATGTTTAAAAAAAAATACTATACTGTATAGTGTACTTTTGTAAGAGAACTGGCACAATTATAAGTGTAAACATGATGTGCATTCAAAGACATTAATAAAAAAAAATGGCAAGGAATGATAGGTGATCGGAGTGATATGTATAATACTATATTACAATAAACATTGCCTGGGTCATATGCTTTAAAATATATTTTTATTGGAAAATCAGTTCCAAAATTTTCCGTGTCCCTGATCTGTAATAACAAGAGAACAAAATAAAACTTTTTCGTTACCAGACATAAGCATATTATTTATATAATATGAATCATCTGTTTTTTTATCACTTTGCTTTGTACTGTACAATACAGTATTCGATTCCAATATTAAGAGATAGAATTAAAATATTATAAAAAACTATAAGAATAAACAAAGGTGATGTTTATGATACGAAATAATTATTAATGTTGCCCATTCTTTCCTTTATTTGATTTTAATTTCAAAGTAAAATATCCCAAACTCTGAAGGAACTGGATGATTTGCTATAACGATAGCAACTTTAAAGTCATCAGGGTCCAAAATAATATCATTTAAATGTTAGTGTAGCATAGGACATTACCAAAACTTCTGATTAGTTGATTATAACCTACTATTTTCATGCAATTACTATTAGACGCGTTACAGCAATTAATACTTTTTATGCTTATTCAATACTTGTTAATCCGAATGTTTGCCCGAATTAGTGCACGGCAAAATCAAACAAAAACTTGAAAATCAAGTTTTTGAATCTATCAATTTACAGTATTGGGCATTAAATACAAATATCATTTTTAGCAAATGTATAGGCATTCGATCTTATTTTAGACTTCGTGGTAACTTATCATGAAGTTTAAAAATAGATTTTGTAATACTGTAAATCATTTCAGAGTCAAATTTTAATTTTACGCGACTCAATTTTAAACCTACGCCTATTCTAATCTGAGGTACGACATATGTAATAAAAATATCCTGAACCGTTGGGTATTAGCGGAAACGAAGTTTCTGATCTCAATATAGTGATCGGGGTATTTACAAAGAAAAACTTTTCTTTAATCTTCTGTCTTTTAAATCTTCTGGAATCTTAATGTACAATATATAATGTGAAAACAATAAATAAAGAACTATATACTAAAATATAATAGGTCTATTATACATTTTAAAACTACCTATATATTTTGTTGTGGTTTTTTTTTTTTTAGCTTCAGCCAGAGTGTTCTAGAATCTGAAGTAGAACTGCGTAGTAATATTTCGACAAAACACAACCGAAATTGTTTATTCTATATGTCTATATATAGAATGAATAATGAGACAAATTTTATCGAATTTAGTTCGGTTGTTTTCGTGATATCGTTAGTGCTATTTTAGATGCTAGAAATCTCTACTTGTAGATCATGGGACCGACAGTTTTTTGTGACATGACTAATGATAAACTGTTATCGTAACTTGCCGTAACTTGCCGCAACTATATTACTTACTATAGTTGCGGCAAATTACGGCAAATCATTGGGACGATTCTACCGCATCCCTAGACATGACTAAAGCTACCTAAATTATCTTAAAATGACCAATTTTAACTTAATGGCTAGCACTAGCTTCTAGAATATTAAATTCCTTACAAATCAATTGTTATGTAAGAACTATGTAATTGACGCGCTTTGAACAAATAAATGTCATCTTATCACATAATAGTCTAATATATAACATGATATATAATTATATTTATTTATTTATCGTTATAAAATACAGCTATACCCGATACATATTTAACATTAATACATAACAATAAGTAAATTTTAAATGTTTTTTTTTTTTAACATATGTTCCAGAGCCTAATGCTAGTATAAAAACAGTTAATATGATTTTAGTAATAAACGAAAAGTTTAATTTTATTTGTAGTGTAGTCATATGATTGATTAATCGCTAGCCCACAAATGAAGTTACACAAACGGAATAGCACATGAAATACGTAATATTATCGCAATGATCATCCACTATAAAAATAGATAAAAACCGAAAAAAAAATTTTTTTTAACAACACACCAGACCAAAATGCTCAAATTGATTCTTCGACATATCTGTTATGAACGGTATCCTCGGTATCCTTATATAATTTACAATGCTCATATTAAACTTAGACCTGCAGTTTCTGGTGTGATGAACATAGCATTTAGCCCACAACGACAAGTATCTCATGATACGAAAAGAGGATTACCAAATGAATTAAAAGATAATAAGAAAATTGAACCTAATGAACCACAATTACTTAAATCAATTCAAGAACTTGCACAACTTTTAAATAGTAGAGGAATTGATCTTAGTACTGGAAAAATGCCATCAATGATACAATTATCTAGAATTGCATATGATGAAGAAGTAACAACAAAATTTAAAAATGTTAGTTCACAATTTTATGAAGCTGGTATCGAATTTAACTTTGATACAGCGCAAAAGTTTTTGAATTTAGCAAATAGCCAACAAGAAGCAATTGACAATTAATAAGATACTAGGACTTAAGATTAGGACTTAAGATTAGGACTTAAGATTAGGACTTAAGATTAGGACTTAAGATTAGGACTTAAGATTAGGACTTAAGATTAGGACTTAAGATTAGGACTTAAGATTAGGACTTAAGATTAGGACTTAAGATTAGGACTTAAGATTAGGACTTAAGA